TCTAAGTGAGCCAGGAACCCAAGGTTTGGATGTGATTATGCACCGAGAATTCTTCATAACAGTGAATGGCTCAGAAAAGCAACCTTGGCCCTGGGGGCAGTTAGCCTTGCAGAGGCCTGGGTGAGTCACAACGGCTGTGCCCAGTGATAAGCAGTTCCCAGCTCTGTGCCAGACGCCCAGACTGCATAACTCCCCATGCGGCACTCTCTCCTCCCTGGTCCATGGTTCAACTCCTTGGCGGCAACCCGCACCACTGCACAGGTTTAGGGGAAGAAATGCGGCGGATGCAGAGAATCTGGCTCCTACCCCCTCCCCATCCAGGCGGCAGCCCTGCTATCCTCTCTGGAGCTTATGGGGTTCTAGAAGGAAGGGGCCTGCATCTTCACGTCGCCCTGGTGCTCAGAGAGTGCCTTGCATAGCAAAGGTGGTCAGTGTCTCTGAACAGGGCAGGGAGATAAACATGCCTGGAGATGATAATTTGGTGAAATAGATCGTTCTGGGGCTAAGTTAGGGCCCTCAGATGTAAGGCCATTCTTTCAGGCTCAAAAAGCTGATTTGGATGATCTGGATTCTCACTGAGGGCTTACTGCTACCCGGCTAGTTGGCTTTGGGCAGGTCACTTTCTGCCTTTGTTCTAGGGCGGGAGGATGATTTGATCCTTGAGGTTCTGCAACAAAAAGCCTTCCCCAGTTGCCATTGATCCAGCTGGGTAGAGAAAGCTGACTTTGAAAAGGAAGAGATCTCTGGGCTTTTCTGGCTTTTGGCAAGGTTGCCGGAGGGTCTTGGGATGGACACCTAGTCAGATGGTCTGTGCTTCCTAGGACCCGGGGAGGTGGAGGAGGGCATGAGTTTGTTACCAGCAACATCTACCAATAATCCCACACCCACTGCTGCCTCTCTGAGTGGAAGCTTCTCTTACATCTAATTTTCTTGCTGGATTATATTAGTTTCCTATTGCTTCTGTAACATATTACCACACATTGGAGCGCCTGGGTGGCTCATTCGGTTAAGTGTCCGACTTCGGCTCAGGTCATGATCTCACAGTTTGTGGGTTCGAGCCCCGCATCAGGCTCTGTGCTGACAGCTCAGAGGGATTCTCAGATCAGAGGGATTCTGAGTCTCCCTCTCTGTCTGCCATTCCCCCACTCATACTCTTTCTCTCAAAAACAAACATTAAAAAATTTTAAAAAACCATGTTACCACATATTTAGTGGCTTACAACAACACGACTTTCTTATCTTAAAGTCCTGGAGGTCAGAAATCCGAAGTCAGTCTCACCGGTCCAAAGTTAAGGTGTCAGTAAGGCTGGTTTCTTCAGTTAAAGCTCCTGGCCTTTTCTGGTGTCTGGAGAGCACCTGCATTTCCTTGGCTTTTGACCCCTTCCTCCATTTTCAGAGCTAGCAGCACGGCATCTTCTTTGGTCTCTGACCTCTGCTTCCATCTTTGTATCTTCTGTTTCAGACTCTGACCCCCCTGCCTCCATTTTATAAGGACTCTTGTGATTACATTGGGCCCACCCAGATAATCCAGGATAATCTCTCCATCTCCTCATCCTTAACTTAATCACATCTGCAAAGTCCCCTTTACCAGGTAAGGTGCTAGTCGTGGAGCTTGATCCTGTGACCTTGGGATCATGACCTGAGCCCAATTCAGGAGTCTGACGCTCAACTGACTGAGCCACCCAAACACCCCCATAAGCAATTATTTTTAACACAAAGCCCGGTGTGCTAAGTGATGTGACAGTGACAAACTGAGGTAGCAGGAATATAAGAAGGTGACCTTAGTTCCAGCCATCATATGGCCCAGGTTTTTGTTTAGGAATATGATTGTTATATGTACCTGGATTTTAGGTTATTAACTGTTGTAGGCTATGGATTATAGGGCTTTCTTTTCTTTTTTCTTTCTTTCATTTCTTTCTTTTATACTTTTTATTAAAAATTTTTAATGTTTTATTTATTTTTGAGAGAGAGAGAGAGAGAGAGACAGTGTGAGCAGGGGACAGACAGAGAGAGAGGGAGACACAGGATCCAAAGACAGGCTCCAGGCTCTGAGCTAGCTGTCAGCACAGAGCCCAACACAGGGCTTGAACCCACAAACCTTGAGGTCATGACCTGAGCCGAAGTCGCACGCTTAACCAACTGAGCCACCCAGGCGCCCCTCTTTTCTTTCTTTTAAATAGGATGGTGTGTCTTTTCCTTTTAAGACTCTTTGGTTCAAAAGAGGCATCTGGCTCTGAGAGTTCATGTGACATCGCTTCTGCTCAACGTTGGTTAAGGTTGGGGACAGTCTGAATTTGCCAGGCAGCGTGGATGCTGGGAAGAAAATCCAGTGGGTCTTCTCATTTCGTGCTGCATCTGAATGGGTAGCTTCTGTAACCTGGGCCGTGCGGAGAGCATTTGTTTCTCGTGGCTGACCTACAAATACCCGGCGAGGTTGGCTTTCCTCGTTGGAAAGACCGTTCTTCCTCGTGTGTTCTTTCAGAGGTGAAGGGGAATCTCCTGCGAGAGCTCTCTCCAGCCCAGAACACAGTTTTAGAAAATACAGCTGACTTCTCTGGGAAAAACAAAACCAACCTTGTCTTTCCCTGGTCATGGAAACTAAGTTGGCACCTCATTATCGCCTTGTTAGCAGGGACTGGCTGGGTTGTGGACAGACCTGGTGGGGACAGTTGGCCCTGTGTGGGCAGGGTTTTGAGTTAAGCTTAATTGCTCTCCTAAAGCTCAGCTACTTAATACAACACAAGTAGAAATCTATCATCAGACTCTTGACCATCCTCCTTGCCCTTCATATTCTCGCCTACGGAGACAATTAGCACCTCCCCACCTCTGCTGCTGCCATGATTTGTGCCTGGGCCACCCTGGGGCCATCAAGGCTTGGCTGCGCCCAGCACAACTACCCAGAGGAGGAAAGGTCTGTAATCACCTTTAACCGTGACTTCCCCAGGCCCCCGATATCTTAAAATGCAGTCAACCTGTTCTGTCCTGGGAGCACAGCGGGGCTGCTGGCTCTTTAATGACTCACAGAAGTTCTTGATCTCTCACAGAATGGGAAAGAGTAATCCAGAATCATTTTTATCTGGCCCTGACGTGTATTTTGCACTTACATTTGAATGTCGATGTGCCCGATGTTCTGAGAACTCACTTCAAACAGGAGCTGCATACCTAACCCCCTATTCCCCTTCTCTTTTCAAAGCCTGGCTGGGGTTTGAATCCCATGCCTATATTCACCAATGTTGGGTGTTCGTAAGAAGGTCACCTGATCTCTCTGGGTTTTAGATTCTCACTTTGCAAATTTGGGGTGAACCTTTTCTACCCAGTAGGACTGACGGAGATACCAAATGGGATGACAGGCTGAGCACTAGTCACACAGGAGTGCCGCACACAGTGTATGTTAGGCTCTCTCCTGCTCCCCTTCCTACTCGTCACCTTTCTCTCAGACCAGTGGCCTCAGCAGAAGCTCTATTTCCTCAAAGTGTCTCCAGAGTGGGAGAGGTGTGACGTGCCACACCCTTTTCACATCTCCCCTTTTTTCCTCACCATGCCCACTTCCAGCCTCTTTTCTTTGTTTCATCAGCCTTCTGTACAGAACCTATGACAGTGGGGACCTTGTCTGAAGTGTCCCCGCCTCGTAGCTTCTTCCCCATACTCCCATAGGCATGCTGAACAGATGGCTCGGGTTCTCCATGGTAACCCAGTTTCAAATGCGCAGTCTCGTTCTTCCCATTAACATGTCCTGGGAATTCTAGTTCATCAACATCCCAAACACATTTCCCTGATCACACCTGGTACCCAGAAGGGGAGCTAAAGACGTAGAAAATATGGTCTTAAAAAAGGGCCCTGACAGTAGTAACCACACATCCAATCTTATATTGGTTGAGAAAACACCATAACCAACCAACAGAGTTCCTGTGAAAGGCACATGTCAGACAGAGCACCCCCACAATAAGCGTCTGCGAGAGCCCACCACTGCTGACGACTTCAAGTTCAGATTCTTCACTTGTAATGTTTTTGTTATTCCTCATGCTCGTTGGGTTTGAGAGTGGGTTGAAGGGAGCTTGATTCTCATTTGTGAATGTGAAATAAGGATCCCAACGAAAATGTGTTTGGCACAAATATACACATGGAATACTCTAGATGCAAGTTTGAAGGCTGCTTTTTTCTTTCATTTCACATATAGACTATATGGATTTGCTCATGTCAAAAATTTTTTGTTGTTGTAAACAGTGGCTTGACTAAATTCAAGACCATGTCTACCGTTGGCAAGATGGGGTGGGGCTTGGATGGGGAGAACAGATACCAAGAGGGGATTTAGTGGATTGGAATGTTTTCTATCTTAACCTTGGTTTTGGGTGTACTTTTTTGAATGTCTTAAATATTACAGAATAAAGTGGAAATTTACAATAGTAAATGATTCCTTAATATCTTATTATATAGGTATGTCATAATTTGCTTCGTTTAAACCTTCCTATCACCCCTGTTATCAGATATTTGTAATTTTCAACTTCAGACTCTTGAATATTGGGTATCAAGTTTTGTCTGCATGTTAGCCCATTTTCTTAGGATCATTTTATAGAATTGAATTATTGGGTCAAAGTGTATGCTTTAATGAGTGCATGTTATCAGACCGTCTTTTAACAAAGTCACCCAGAGTTAGACTATCAATATCATTGTGTCCACTCCACCTTATCTTACCCGTACTGAATGCTGTTACTACAAAAAAAATTTGCTATTTTTCCAGGCAAACATTTTTTCTGGTGTTTATAGCTTGTATCTCTGATTACCAGTGAGGTTGACCATTCTGTCAGAAAATAAGTTTTCGATCAGAGTTTTAAAAAGATTGACATGTATGTGTGAGTACAGGCTTTTGGCAGACTCACTTATATGTGGGGCCTGTGTGGAAGGGTTTTATCTTAGACGAGGGGACCACAGATAAGCAAAGAAAGAGCCCCTTGCTCCCTGGGTGAAAACGAGCTGTGCATCCAGACTTCTGTGTTTCTGCAGTGCCGCCAAGCTCCTGGACAAGAACCCGTTCTCCGTCAGTAACCCGAACCCTCTGCTCCCTTCGCCCGCCAGCCTGCAGCTGGCCCAACTGCAAGCCCAGCTCACCCTCCACCGGCTGAAGCTGGCACAGACAGCGGTCACCAGCAATACTGCCGCCGCCACGGTCCTCAACCAAGTCCTCTCCAAAGTGGCCATGTCCCAGCCTCTCTTCAACCAGCTCAGGCATCCGTCTGTGATCAGCGCCCCCCAGAGCCATGCTGCGACGGTGCCCAGTGCCCGGTTTCCCTCTAATGCAATTGCCTTCTCACCCCCCAGCCAGACGCGAGGCCCGGTGCCCTCTGTGAGCCAACCCCCTGGTGCCGTGGTGATGCACCCTTTCAGTGGGGTTTTGCCTCAGACCCCTGCCCAGCCAGCGGTCATCCTGGGCATTGGCAAGACCGGGCCTTCTCCGGCTGTGGCAGGGTTCTGTGACTATGGCAAGGCCAGCACCGGCCAGGCATATGGCTCTGAAACAGACAGTCAGCCCAGCTTCCTGCCAGCCACGGCCTCCACCACGGGCAGTGTGACCTATGAAGGGCACTACAGTCACTCAGGGCAAGATGGCCAGGCTGCCTTTCCCAAAGACTTCTATGGACCCAACTCCCAAGGATCGCATGTGGCAGGTGGATTTGTGGCCGAGCAGGCCGGGGCCATGAAAGGTGAGGTAGGTCCTCTGCTGCAGGGTCCAAACAGCCAATGGGAGAGCCCCCACGGATTCTCTGGCCAAAGCAAGCCCGATCTTACAGCAGGCCCCAGCCTGTGGCCTCCACCCCCCAGCCAGCCCTATGAACTCTATGACCCCGAGGAGCCCACCCCAGACAGGACCCCTCCTTCTTTTGGGGGTCGGCTAAACAACAGCAAACAGGGTTTCATCGGTGCCCGGAGGCGGGCCAAGGAGGAGCAGGCGATGCTGTCGGTGCGGCCCCTGCAGGCTCATGAGCTGAACGACTTTCACGGTGTGGCTCCCCTTCACCTGCCACATATCTGTAGCATCTGCGACAAGAAGGTGTTTGATCTGAAGGTGAGTCCTGCAGAACGGCGTGGGAGCCACCACTGGAGCCTGGGCGGGGGCTCCCCCCCATCCCGCTCTTGCTGCTCAGGAGCTAGGAACTGTTACATTTGGGGACTAGGTAGCAGCATTTTGCCCTCAGTACCCTGGATTAAAATTATGGGTGTTAGAACCAAAATTCATTTCAGAAAGGTATTGGGGCCAGTCCCTTATTTTGAGGCAAGTAAGAGATTCTTTCCCATGTTTATTAAAGAGAAAGCTGTGGCTGAGTCAGGGATCAGGTGACCCCACGTGGGTGCCAGAGAAGGGATTCAAGGACTGGCCTCCTGCCTCCTTGAGGAGGGCTCTTCCCGTGGGATATGCCCAGAGTGCATCATATTGAGTTCGGAAGGGGAGGAAAACGCTGGCAGAATTTTGGATGAGGGTGAGAGAGCTCCTCTCAGGTGAGGCCTTGGCACATTATTATAGAGTGCCTCAGTTTCCCAGATGGAGCCTCATCGTACCTTCCTGGTGCTTGTAAAATGCTTTGGGCCCCTAAAGCAAAAGATTTTTATAGTATAATATAAATCCACCCCCTAATCCGTGGCAAAAATGTATTAGTGATGCAGTGAAATATTCCAAATCAATAGTAATTCAGACAGCTAACATCTATGAAATCCTTTCCATATGTCAGCAGTAATCCTGGGAGGTCGATACTATTATTAGTCTTATTTTGCGGGTGAGAAAACCGAGGCCCAGAGAGAGGAAAGGACTTGCCCAGGGCCCCATAGCTAGAGAGTGGCAGAGTGGAGATTCGAACATGGGTCTGGCCCTCCCAGGACCGGTGCCAGGTGCCACTTAAGCGCTGGGCTGTGCTGCCTCTCTTCTCTCATCCCACCTGCAGAGCATAGCGATCCCCGTGTAATGGGCGTCACACCACAGTGTGTCCTTCCCCTCTGCTTGGGTCACATAGTACAAGTGCATCCCTGTCACTCACGGGGCGGGGGCTGGCTGACACTGGGAGGCGATGGTGGATTTCAGCTCTCATAAGCCATTCTTAAGGCTTTGAAGCTCACTGTGAGTCCACCTGCCAGGTTCTTCCAACCAGACACAGAAGTGGGTGGGGTCTCTCTGGGGGAGAAGGGAGGGAGTGGAAGGTGGGAGGTGACATGGGACATGGGTGCATGGAGAGAAAACAGAATCCGACTTGGCATTCTGGGCTCCTGTCCGAGACGGGCGAGAGAGATGCGGGTCTGGCTGATGGAGTGAGGGCTAGATGGGAAGGCAGGTGTGGGGAGGAGCTAGGAGGGAGAGGAGGAGCAAAGGGAGGTGTGTTTGCAGGGTGGCTCCAGTGTCTGGGCTCTGAGCCCCCTGCCTGATGGGGAAGCCTGCACTCATCCCTTACCTTCTCATGGACTCAGTTCTGCTTCAGTCACTTTCCCTTTCCTTCCGGTCTAGGACTGGGAACTGCATGTGAAAGGGAAACTACACGCTCAGAAATGCCTGGTCTTCTCTGAAAAGTAAGTGCTGGCCAGGAGAACAGGTCCATCCGTCTCCTCAGTGAGCGTTCATTGAGCACCTACTGTGTGCCACATTCTGTTTTAGGTGCTGGGGAAACAGCAGAGAACAAAACAGGAAAATGTCCATGCCTTCAAGCAGCTTATACTTAACGGTTGTGGGGGGGCGGGGTGCGGGGAGCAGATGATCAAGAAAAGAAGCAAGTGAATTATACAGCATCCCTGGTGTTGAATGCAAAGCAGAAAACGGCATCAGCTCAGGGGCAGGGAAGGGAGCTTGTGTGTACATGCATGTGCACTCACAGGGGCTGGTCCTCACATTTTATTTTATTCCTTTTTTTAAAGTTTATTTATTTTGAGAGAGAGAGAGGAGGAAAGGGTCAGAGAGAGAGGGGGAAAGAGAATCCCAAGCAGGCTCCACGCTGTCAGCACGGGGCTTGATCCCACGATCCATGAGATCATGTCCTGAGGTGAGACGCTTAACCAGCGGAGCCACCCAGGTGCCCGTAGTCTTTAGATAGGGTGGAAAGGCCTCGCTCAGGACACCTCAGGAGGGGGAGTGAGCCCCTGGCTGTCTGGGGGACATGTACTCCCAGCAGAGGGAACAGCAAGTTTGAATCTCAGTGTGTCCCTCGGATGCTCAGGGAACAGCAGTGTGACCAGAGCAGAGTCCTGGGGGGAGGAGCCAGGAGTGAACCCCAGCCGGGTCTGAGGTCCTGGGTTTGCAGTGAGCACTTTTGTTTTGCTTTGAAGGAGTGGTGCCCTCTGGCTCCACCGAGCGGGGCCCTGGCTGCTGGGCTGAGAATAGACAGGAGTGGGGTGTGGGCGGACCAGTGAGGCTGTGGTAATGCGGGCAGAGAAGAGGGCACATGGCCCAGGGTGTGAACAGCTGGCTGGAGTTAAGTGATTTGAAATGAGCACATTCAAAAGGCTCCCCTTTCTTATTCACAATAGCCAGTGGGTGGAAGTAACCCGAATGTCCACCAGCAGATGAATAGGTAAACAAAATGTGCTCTATCCATACACCGGAATATTGTTCAGCCTGAGGAAAGGGGCTTCTGACACATGGCACAGCATGGCTGAACTTGGAGGACATCGTGCTCCGTGAGGTAGGCCAGTCACACACGGACACACGCTGGATGGTCCGCTAAGGAGGAGCTGCAAGAGTCGGGCTCATAGAGACAGAAAGTAGGATGGTGGCGGCCAGGGGCTCAGGCAGGGGAAGTGGGGTGTTCACTTTGAACGGGGGCAGTTTCTGGGAGGTGGACGATGGGGACAGCTGCACGACAGTACAGATGTGCTTCATGTCCCTGAGCTGTACGCTTCGAAATGGTTAAGATGGCAAATTTTATGTATATTTGATCACAACTGAAAAACTAATTTTATAAGGGTCTCCCTTTTCTGGCTCCCTCTTCTTTTGTTGCAGTAAAGTTCACTTAAGACTCATCATTTTGGAGCACCTGGGTGGCTCAGTCGGTTAAGCGTCCGACTTCGGCTCAGGTCATGATCTCATGGTCCATGAGTTCGAGCCCCACATCGGGCTCTGTGCTGACAGCTCAGAGCCTGGAGCCTGCTTCAGAGTCTGTGTCTCCCCCTCTCTCTCTGCCCTTCCCCTGCTTGTGCTCTGTCTCTCTCTTTCAAAAGTAAACATTAAAAAAAAGAGAGAGACTCACCATTTTAACAATTTTAAAGCATACAGTTCAGTGGTATTTAGCAGACGCACAAGGTTGTGCAAATATCATCACTATGTAGCTCCCAAACATCTTCTTTACCCCTGAACTCCATACCCGTTAAGTACTCCTTCCCTTTCCCCTCCTTTGTAGAGCCTGGCGGTCGCTAATCCACTTTCTGTCTCTGTGGATTTGCCTCTTCTGGACATTCTGTGGAAATGGAATCATTTAATATATGGCCTTTGATTACTGGCTTTTTTCACTTAACAAAATATTTTCAGGGTTCATCTATGTTGTGGCGTGTATCACCTTTTTATGGCTGAATAATATCCCATTATATGTATGTACCACATTTTGTTTATCCATTCATCTTTTGATCTATGTTTGGGTTGTTTTTTACCTTTTGGCTATTGTGAATAGTGCTACTATGAACATTCATGTACAAGAGTTTGAATGTTTTTTAAAGTTTATTTATTTATTAATATTTTTAAATTATAGTTTATTGTCAAGTTGGTTTCCAATAACATTCAGTGCTCATCCCCACAAGTGCCCTCCTCCATGCTCATCACCCATTTCCCCCGCCCCCACCCCCCAAGAGAGAAAGCAAGCACTTGGGAAGGGCAGAGAGAGAGAAGGAGAGAGAAAAGTCCAAGCCACTGAAGGGCCGATCTCATGAACGGTGAGATCATGACCTGACCAGAGATCAAGAGTCAGACGCTTAACCAGCTGAGCCACCCAGGTGCCCCTGAACATTTATTTGTAACTCTTTTAGGGTTATGGCTGGGAGTGGAGTTTATGGGTCCTGTGGTAATTCTTGGTTTAGCTTATTGAGTTACTGGTTCCGCTTTTCCGCCTCTCTCCAGCGCTGGCATCCGGTGTATACTCGGTTCAGCAGAGGGAACGCTGGGTGCCTCTCCCAACAGCACGGCTGTTTATACTCCTGCTGGGAACTCTGAAGGTGAGTAAGGCCCTCCAGGTCAGCGGCTTGACGCACAAACCAGCTTCCCAAAGGCTTATTGTGTCACATCTTTAATAACCTAACTTCCCTGGTGTGCCATGTATATATATATGTATATATATAAAGCAAACGGATCCCAAGATAATGTATTGTCCTGCTCTCTAGGCTCTTAGAGACATAAGCTTTGTCGGTTATCAACATGTCCGGGGGTAAAAATCATACCAATCACTAAGCAGTATACTGAGAGGAAATTTTAATTTTTTTCTTCCAATTTATATCCTAATCATGGCTCTTTTAAAAAATAAAGTTTATTTATTTTGAGGCAGAGAGAAAAAGAGAGCGCAAGTAGGGGAGAGGGAGAGAGAGGATCCCAAGCAGGCTCTGTGCTAACCGTGCAGGGCTTGAACTTGAGAACCGTGAGATCCTGACCTGAGCAGAAACTGAAAGTCGGACGCTTAACCAACTGAGCCACCCAGGCTCCCCCATCCTAATCTTGACTTTTGAAGGTAAAGTAAGTGACTAGGATTTCACACATTTGGTGTAATTCCTCATTTAGATTATGTCTCAAATCTTGGATCATCGTATGCGGCCATTCCAGCAAGGTCGTTTGCTCAGTCAAATCCTGCATTTCCTTCAGCTTCCCCGGGGACAAACGTGAGTACAGAAGCATGTTCTCCACTGCCATTGTCACCATCAAAGCATTTGTGTCACCGCTGTCCCCGGGTATAGAGGTACAGGGAGGCTGGGACGAAGCTGGCACAGATGTGGCTTTGTGCAGGGCAGGAAAACGTGTCCCATGGGCAGAGGATGGCGGGTGTTTCACTCAGTCCGGCGAGCACTGAATCACAACTGACATGTGTTATTAAAATCGAAAGCACACATAGACTTTCTAGGCTTCAGCATTGGTTTAAGGGGGAAAAGAGGTTTGAGCTTGTGTGTGTGTGTGTGTGTGTGTGTGTGTGTGTGTTTAAGACTTTTTGCTATTGTGTTCAAGTGGGTGATTTCCTCTGATGGGTAAATCTGGAGGTTGAACCAGAAAGAGAAAATGTGTGCGAAAATAAGGACCATGCAGTAATGGGATTTCTTGGCCCCCTGGGGAAACAGTTGCTTCTGTGGAATCCTTGTTTTTAGTTGTTTTCATTCCTCTCTCTCTACAACATGCTCTCCAGTCCCCCCAAAGCTCGAAAGCTTCATTCTCCCTTTGCCCACCGATTGTGACAAGTTCCTTTCCCTCTTGGTTTTTCTGTTTGGCCACTTCGTGTAGCCTCCTCCCCCAGAAGCTTCTCCTCCAGAACACGTGGAGGGAGGTGAGGGGGCAGAACCAGAGCCGACTGTGGAACAAAATGTGTGGCCCAGCCCTGCCAGAGGGCGCGTGTCTGTGTGTTCGCGGCCATGCCTGGATTTCCTTCAGTTTGTGGTGTGAGCAGTTGTAGCCTCTTTCTTCTCATGTGACGAGCTCCCAAGTGCTGTCCCCTCTGTGTGTGGGGGTGTTCATGCCAAGCTTCAGGAGCTGCTAGCCCCCGGGCTGGAGCGACTGGGGAGGCCTGCCTGGGCGGACGTTTCTGCTCGGGTGCGTCTGTCTGTGTGTGAGGTTGAACGCAGACGCGCTCCGAGACAGAGCTCCGGGCTGGGAGCCCGCGCACGTTTTGGTGAAAGAGAATTTTGCGGTTTCCCTCTCTGCCCTCTCTCTCCACACCGAGGGCCATGCCCGATCTGTGCGGCTTTGAGTCAGTCCCAGGAGAGCAGTAAGGCCTGTCATTTGTCTTTGACCTTGTGTCTGGACCGGGGTGTGGGCAGCTCCAGCACCACCCCACCCCAGGGCGTTTCCCACTGTGGCATGTCAGTGCCCAAAACCCTGCTCTGAGATCTTAGGGCGGAGGGAAAGGGGACTGTGACCAGATGGGCAGGCGGTGAGAGTGGGCCCGGGATCTGGGCAGGGAAAGAGCCGGCATCAACTGAGCGCCTTTGTAAAGGGGAAGGGGCTGAGCCGCAGAGGAGAAGCGAGAGTAGGAGGACTCCTCAGCGTGTGCTCCGCGCCCTAGCCCCTCCCTCCAGCGCTGCCCAGGGAACAAGAAGCCCTTCCTTGTGGATGTGGAGCCAAAGAGACCTAAGTTCGAACCTTCCTCTGGAGCGCACAGGCTAAGTGGCTGTGGGCAAGTCACTGAGGCTCCCTTTCCTTAAATGGGGGCACTAACTCCCATAATAATGACTTTTGAAAGTAAAGCAAACAGCTGCGTTCTTACCAGACTTGTGTAATTGATCATTTTGATGATGCCTCCAATCTCGGAACACTCACACCACTGGAGCAGGGTCTCCTGATGTGTGGTCAGAGCCGAAAGGTGGGAGCGAGGCTGAGGGCAGACCAGAGCTGTCATGAGCATTGAACGTGACACGGCTGGACAGTGACGTGTGAGCTGCACGGTACGTAAGAAGCACCAATGGCTGTCACTAAGCAGCAGATCCTTTTAACCGCTTGTGGGAACCTGTCCTGTCCCAGGCCACGCTGTTGAGTGACTGCCCCGCAGCCATGGCCGGCCCAGGAGAGAACCCCTGTGACCTTAGGCAAGTCTCAGTATTCGGCGTTTCTCCTGCACAGATCTTTCTGGTAAGTCCTGTGGTCATGTCTGCTCCCTCTAGAGGCTCTGCCAGGCTCCTGTGAAAGCACTCTACCTCCACGTGCCGCGGGCACAAACGATCTGACAATTTGTGCTGATAATGATTCATGATCATTCGTGTTAATACTTGGAAGCTCTGAGTGAAGCTTCCTCCAAACGCCTGGAGATGGGGGTTCATCCGGCTTGAACCTGACTAGGGGCAACACAAGGAACACTTTGCTTTCGGCACTGGCAGCCAGCAGGCGACGGAGACCTCAGGACATTGTAGGCTGCTGCTGCTGACAACAGCTAACGTTTATACAATGCTTACTGGGTTCTTAGTATCTTCGTATGTATTTTCTCACTTAATCCTCCAGACAGCCCTGAGAGTTGGGGAAACCAAGGCACAGAGAGACTAAGTGCTCTGCTTAAAGTTTTATAGCTGATGACTTAATGGAAGTGTTGGGATTTGAACCCAGGTGGCCTGACTCTAGAAGCCTCCCTTGTAACCACCAAGCCCTGCTTCTTCTCTTTGAGGGTTTCTGAATTTTCTTCCTTGCTATGGCTCTCTCTCTAGTGAGCCCTCTCCCCTGCCCTCTGTCCACATCCACCCTACATGCTGCTCAGCAGGATCTCAATCTGCCTTGAGGATGGCAGTGACTTCTTGGGCCTCAGCTAGCCATCAGCCATGGAACAAGATGAGGAGGCTAGTGAGACCTGCGCTGTGACAGTGTCCCCCAAGATGAGGTCAGATGTTTAGAGACATTTTTTGACAGATCCAGTGGAGGGGAGAGTCGTCACCTGACTGGTCTTGTAAGTTCTGTGAGGTCTCGTTAGTCACATGACCCTGCCCAAGGACGTCTGGGGAACAAAGACAAGGCCTGCCCCAACCAGTCCCTGAATCATCCTTGCCTGGATGGTCACATTCTTCTGTCTGATTCTGGTCCATCGGATGCAAGTGTGTCTGTCTTTCGGAAAATTGGAAATACACAAATACTGACATTTGAAGACAAGCTGAGAAATCAGAGCTGATCGATTAGTTGGCTGCAGAAAGATACTTTGCAAAGGGTCCGCTAAGTAGCAGGGGAGTCCTTCGGAGAAATTATTGTTTTTTATGCCCGCAAATACTGACCTCCAAAGGTAAACGAATGCATCAAAGGGTAATTAACGCTGTTACCAAAAGGCAGGTTTTTGAGGCTTGAGGAGGGGCCAGCGGGCTTCTTTTGCATGTACATCTCTGCTTTTTTTCTGCTTGCATAATTTATGCTCTTTGTGAAAATTCAAATGGATAAGAAATATTTCATGAGGGCAGGGAAATTCCTCCATTATCCCCCTCCCAGCCCTCATAAAGAACCCATAAAAGCTTTGATGCATTTTTCCTCCGGAAATGTTTTCTGGTTCTGTGCCAGGGCTTTCTTTGGCCCCATTCTACTTACATACATCCTTGCAGAAACACCTTTGGCTGAGTGAAGCCAGAACCAGCCAGGACTCCGCCATTATGATATTTGTGGAGCAAAGAGCAACTGCTGTCTCTAAAGCTGCCTGCTTTTAAAAGCAGGAAAACAATCGACCCAGGGCTCTGAGAATGAGTTTTTGCAAGGTCTCTGCACTTCTACAAAACCTAAACACACCCAGAAGCCCATCGACCGCCTCCATCAGCCCCAGGCTTGGCTGAATGTACGCTTCTGTCAGCTCCGTGGGGAGCGCGAGCCTTTCATTTCCGTGTTTATCGTTGACAGAGACGGGGCACTGAGCTGACAGTTGTGTGCTGTGTTTGCTGGTGGGGGGGGTGGGGATTTGTGTCTCTCCCTGCCACCCCAGGGTCCCCAGAGAGTGGTGTTCACTTTCACTTAGGCTTCTGCCATTTGCCAGAGCAGAGGCACTTTATCCTTGGCTGCCTGAGTCGTCATAAACAGAGTAATCAGGTTTCTGGAAGGGGCCACTGGGGGCCTTCTCAGGCTGTAAATAGTTTTCTCGTGCTTACCCAAGATGCACTTTGCTTGCTGACTGTCCCCATAAAATGGCATTGCCATTTTCACAGCCACCTTGGAGTTTATTTAATACTGCTGGTGCTACAGATGGGCTTTGCTGGCCTAGGAGGAAAGACATCATTTTCATGGTTTCTTTCTCACTGGGACCCTGCACACTAGAAAACGTGTATAAATAAGGAGACCGAAGCACAGGGGCACATGTTTGTGGAAGGCCAGAGGTGTAAGTTATGGGTTGCCCATCAGATGGCTGGCTGTTTCTGGAACTCCTTTCTGTCTGTCCACTCGGGCCTTCCTGGTCCGTGGCTCAGATCACTCTGGTCTCCTGACTTCCAGAGAGGCATGAAGAGCAGTAGCTGATGTGGCAAACAGTACCCGCCCTTACCCCCCCCAATTCCAGCTCCGTCATTGCTCTCCCCTCCCCCCCCCAGGTGGGGGGTCACTTTGTGCATTTTCCAAGAGCAAAGAGCAAGAGGGAAACAGGATACCTGAATGGGTTTCATTTTCTGGGTTTTTTTCCTTTTAACAAATCTTTTTTTTTAATGTTTTTATATATTTTTGGAGGAGAGAGAGAAAGAGCATGAGGGCAGAAGGGGCAGCAAGAGAGGGAGACACAGAATCCAAAACGGGCTCCAGGCTCTGAACTGTCAGCACAGGGCCCGACACGGGGCTCGAACCCATGACCTGTGAGGTCACGACCTGAGCCGAAGTCAGACGCTCAATCGACTGAGCCACCCAGGTGTCCTTCTTTTTACAAATCTTAAATATTTTTCCTTGTTGCAAAAGTAGTACAAACATGGTATAAGAAATCCAAATGGTAACAGAAATATTTTTAAAAATGGAAAATCCAGTCCTCTAGGGAAAATTGACTATAAATGTCTTATACTATTTATCTCTAGCTAGTGTACGTGTCCATGTTTAATTTTATAAAGTATAGGGGCATCTGGGTGACTCAGTCAGCAAAGTGTCCCAATTCTTTTTTTTTTTTTTAGTTTATTTTGAGAGAAGAGAGAGTACAAGCAAGGGAAGAGCAGAGAGTAGTAGTGAGAGAATCCCAAGCAGGCTCTGTGCT